TCCAATATCTCAGGGGTTGCCCCAAAGAAGAGGGAGTCAAACTATTCTCCAAGGCCCCTGAAGGCAGGACAAGAAACAATGGATAGAAACTAATCAAGAAGAGAATCAACCTGGAACTAAGAAATTTTCAGGACGGCGAGAACAATTAACCAGTGGAACAGCCTGCCACCAGAAGTTGTGGGTGCTCCATTACTGGAGATTTTTTTTAAAAAGAGATTGGACAGCTATTTGTCTGACATGGTATAGGATCTCTGCTTAAGCCGAGGGCTGGACTAGAGGACCTCCAAGGTCCCTTCCAACTCAAGCAAGGTTGCATAGATAGACTGGACAGCCACTTGTCAGCAATGGTAAAGGGTCTCCTGCTGGAGCAGGGGGTTGGACTAGATGACCTATAAGCTCCCTTCCAACTCTTGTTATTCTGTAAATAGGCTGCTACATGGGTGTTACTCAGAGCCTCCATTATTCCCAGCTAAAAGACCTGCATTAATTGCCCCTTGGATTGGCTAAAGCCAATTCAAAATCTTGCTATTTGCACTTAAAACCCCTCACAATTCAAGACCAGGGGTCTCAAAATGGCCATTTTTAGTTTCCCCAGGGAAGGCAGGCTCCCCAAGAGTAGCCCGATTTGTAAAATAATCTCTTTTTCTGTGTCCAGCTCTTGACACAACTCTTACACCCCTTTTCATTTTAATCTTCCTTAGTCTTTTAACTGTGCATCGTATTTGCCTTGGGGTGAATTTTTTTATCCTGTGGTTGTCACTACTTTAAATTCCTTTGAGATTTTTTAAAAAGAAGAGGCATATAAAATAGTGTAAAATGTGTGAAATCCAGACCCTCATTCAGGATCCCAGACTCTGGAAAAATTCTTTAGTGTCGTCGCCCCCCCCTCCCACTCAATCTTCCAAACTTGAAAATGAGGGGACTTCAACTCCCAGAATTCCTTAGCCGGTGTGCTTGAAGATGGGTGGACTTCAACTCCCAGAACTCCTTAGCCGGTGTGCTTGAAGATGGGTGGACTTCAACTCCCAGAATTCCCCAGATAGCCTGCTTTAAGAGGAGTGGAATTCTGAGATCAGTCCACCCATCTTAAAGTTTTCAAGCTTGAAAAACACTAAATTAAAACCTGCTGCGAATCTTGCTGGCTTCTCTTAACAAACAAACAAAAGCCACATTTCCCCAACAGATCTGTAAAAACCTTAACATTAAAATTTAACAAATTACTTTTGAGCTATTGGAAAAGAATGCACTTTTCAGTACTGGCACAACTGATTTAACAAAGAAAAAATGGTGTGTGGGTGGGTGAGAAAGAAAGAGAGAGAAAAGAAAGAAAGAGAGAGAAATAGTCCCAAAGATGATTTTTCAGGAGGCAACTGGACTTTTTTCTTTTGAAGACGTTTTGCTTCTCATTCAAGGAGCTTCTTCAGCTCTGATCAATGGTGGGGAAATGGAAGGATTTCATTCAGCCAATCTCCACCATTCAGGTGAGAACTGAAGAAGCTTCTTGGATGAGAAGTGAAACCTCTTCAAAGAAAAACAAAGAACTCCAGTTGCCTCTTGAAAAAGCATCTTTGGGAAGACAGAGACAGAAAGAGAGAGAGGCAGAAAGAGAGAGAAAGTGAGAAAGAGAAAAGGATAAAGAAAGAGAGGGAAAGAGGAAGTAAGAAAGAAACAGAAAGACAGATAAAGAGAAAGAGAGAGAGAAAGAGAAAGAAAGGGAATAAGAGAGAAAGAGAAAGAAAGAAAGAGAAAGAGANAAAAAAAAAAAAGGAAAAAAAATGATATTATGCACATTTGAAATGGCAGATTTCTTAAAATTCCTCAGTATGAGCAATTTATACAATCCAGTTTCTGTGCAACTTTTACCACAAACTGGATCTCTAAGGACGACTTACATTTTCTTCAACCGAAGATCCAAGTTCCATCAGGATCCGATGGGCTTAGATCTCAGGGAAGCATTTGGGTTGGTCACAACTCCAGGGTAGGTAGTCCTTGAGTTACAAACAGTTCGTTTAGGGACCGGAGTTACAACAGCACTGAAAAATGTGACTTGCACTTTTTTTTCACACCACTGAGCGTTTTTTCACACTTGGAACTGTTGTGGCATCCTCATGGCCACACAATCAAAATTCGGATGCTTGGCAACGGATTCATACTTATGACAGTTGTGGGATCCCTTTTTGTGACTTTTTTGTGTGAATAGAGTAAAATAGAAATAGGAGTAGGAGTAGTAGGAATGGAATGGACTGGAAGAGAACAGAATAGGAATATAGAATACAATAGAAATAGAATAGAATTAGAATAGAATGGAATGGAATATAATAAGAATGGAATAGAATTAAAATAATGGAATAGATTTTGAATAGGACAGGACAGAATAGAATTAGAATGAAATTATTTCAAACAGGAGAGGAAGAGGAAGAGGAGAGGAGAAGAGTTGGAAGGGACCTTGGAGGTGTTCCAGTCCAGCCCTCTGCTCAAGCAGGAGACCGTAGACCATTTCAGGCAAATGATTGTCCAATCTCTAACTTAATAACAGCGAAATGGGGCCAAACTCACTTAACAAAGGTCTCGCTTAAATTTTGGGCCGAGTTGTGGTCGTATGTCAAGGACTACCTGTTGTTGCATCCACACCATTTGAGAATTACGAAAAGGGATCCGTTGAGGTATGAGCAGGCGCAACTCTGCGCATGGCTTTGAACATCTGGAGACTGGAAGCATGCTGGATAGCTGGGCTCCCCGACCCAACCTTATTTATTTATTTTATTTCCCTAAACATCGAGGCTGTTTTGGTGACGATCGCAAGAAAAAAAGGGCCTGTATGCAAAGATTACCTTTCTCCCTTCTTTTTTAGAAAAGAGGATTTTTACGCCCAAAATACACATTTTTTTGAAAGAAAGAAAAAGAAAAACATCACCCCACAGGTAGACAACTGATTTCATGCATCTTTTTACAAGGATAAGAAAATGTTTGTCCATTTTTTAATCTACCCACGCAGGAAAGACCTGGAGAATCAACTTCCTGATGTTTCAGCTGGTTTTTAACAAACTCTACCTGCTTTTTGTTGTTGTTGCTTAAAAAAAGGGATTTTTTAAAATAACGTTAAAAAAATACAAAATGGAAGCATCGATCTACATTTCCCGATATAAATTTCCAGAGGTGCGAGAGGGAAGCACTTTCGACGTCAGGATCACATCCGAGTCCTAGAAACTGTTATAAATACGAAATGGGGTCGACGTGGCCACAGAATCTTAATGGGAATTCTTTAAAATTTCGGAGCGTTCCGAAGAAAACTTCATTATACAGCACCAAAAATCCACTCACCAAACTTGCTTTTTTCCGATTTCCGGAAGAAAGAAAGAAAAAAGGACATTTCTCATGCATACCGACAAATCACTTTTCTAGTGAAACACTGAAGTGAACAACTGTAAACATTACAGAAACGGTTATTTTTTGTTTAGAAACATACACGTATAGAGAAATACAAAGACATTTTTACAACACCGTACATTTTTCACTGGCTGATGAAGCTTTTGACTAAATGTTTGCTTATTGATGTGATACGTGTTTTAGCGTTAAAAAGGCACAGGTTGGTTAAGAAAGAAAGCATTCTGCAATTAATTCCTTTATTTCACGTTCTCTGATCTTCCTCAGTTCCTCCTCCTCCTCATTCACACTTTGCTTTTCCAATATTCCTTGCTTTCTAAAAAGAGCCATTTCCAAAAATGCTCCAGACGTTTATAATTCTGGTCAATATCTGTCATTTACACTTAATTTAGAGGCATCGAGTTTAAAAAACCCAAAACTGCTTACATACAGATAGCCCTCAACTTGCAACGATTTGTTTAATGACCAAAAACGGGGTTCAAAACGGTGGCCGTTTGTCACACTTACGACCGTTGCAGAATCTCCGTGGTCACGGGATCAAAATTCAGCGGCTTGGCAACTGACTCGTATTTATGACAATTGAGGGGGGTCACGCGACCCCTTTTCTCGACCTTTGGACAAGTCAATGGCTAAGCCAGATTCACTGAACGACCGTGATACTCGCTTATCAATTGTAGTGATTCACTTAACAACCGGGTCAAGAAAGGTCATAAAATGGGGGGGGAACTCACGTAATGTCTCGCTTAGTATTGTGGCCAACCAGCGGCTAGCAGAGCTGGCAGCAGATTCGGACAGTGAGGAGGTTGGGGAGGAACCTGGGGGAGGCTCGGATGAGGGCTCCATGTCGGAGGCAGAGAGGGGGCCAGGGCCGTCCGACAGTTATTAGCTACCTTCGGAGTCAGACATCCGTGAGGCAGAAGAACAGCTGGAGCCTGTTCCTAGTGTGCGCATGCACAGAGTTGCCAGAGGAAGGGAAGAGCTAAAGAACAGGGGTCAACTTGGGAGTAAGGCCACAGGGGGACGATGAATGGCCCCTCCCAGAGGAAATAAAGGAGGGGAGAAAGGGGAGTGGAGTTTGCAGGAGACAATTAGTTTACTTAATTGGTTCATGACTCTCCGAGGCTCCTTGCCAAGTTCTGCAGATCTCGGCCTGGCAGCCAGATAAGGTCTGTGACTGTAAATCCTCCCTTGAAAGACTTTGCTGGATGTGAAGGAGCAGAATTCAGAGTCAATTAATAAAAGGGGCTTTTGTCGGGACCAGGAGTCTGCTTCAGGCTCTCAGAAAGCCTCGGTCAGAACACTTAGCAACAAAAATGTTGGGCTCAATT